GTGCGCTTGTCCGTAAAGCACACCCAGAGCCATAAAGCATAGCGCCACCAGCTAACTTCTGATTGGTTCCTTGTCACGAGACAGGCATCTGACTTTCTAGTGTCTAGGTCAAGGTCATAGAAGCACATGTTCCACCATTATGGCTGCCAAAAGGGAAGCCGGTTCCTTCAAGTATAGCTACCACCATCTTGATGATGGCCACAGGATCTAAAGTAAACCTAGCTCCCCGGAGTGTTGGTAAGTCTGGTTAGTACTTTACACATTCCTGCCGGCCATGATCATCTATCAGCTCTGAAGATGCGGGTACTGTTTGTTTCAGTGCTGAGAATTTTTACAGTGTTGCAGTAGGGGCAGGAGATGTTGCTCAATGGTTAAGAGAGCTAGTTGCTCTTGCAGAGAACCTTATTGGGTGGCTCACACCTGCCAGTAACTCCATCTTCAGGGGCTCAGGTGCCCTCTTCTAGACCCTTCAGGCACTCCAACAGGTGCAGATACATACACAAAGAAATGGTATGCACTGAGCGGTGGTGGCACACACCTTTAATCATAGCACTCGGAGGCAGAGGGCAGATCTCTGTGAGTTTGAGATACCAGTCTGGTCTACAAGAGCTAGTTCCAGGACAGCCTCCAAAGCTACACAGAGAAACCCTGTCTAGAGGAAAAAAAGAAAAAAAAAAATGAAAAGAAACAGTATGCACACACTCTCCAATCCACACCTTTAGTCCCAATACTAGGGAGGCATAGGCAGGCGGATCTCTGTGAGTTCAAGGCCAGCCTGGTCTACAAAGAGAGTTCTAAGCTATTAAACTGAGAAACTCTGTCTTAGAAAAAGAAAGAAAAGAAATAGAATCTTTAAAGTATGTTGAAATAGAAAGGTCAAGGCACTTTCACTAAGATGTTGAGAACTCCATGGCATTATTCGTTAGACTGCTGTGCCTGTAGGTAGGTACTTATTGTTCTTTGAGAATGTGGAGACCCATTAACAGCCCTCCCCCCCCAGACAAGGCCACCACCCAGCAGTAGCTCCATCCCCAGCCCTGTAGGCTCTTGGCATTGTGTCACTTCTCACTGACACATGACTTGAAGCTCTCTTTGTAGTCTCTTCTCAGACAACCTGTCATTTCCTTCTTTTTCTGTAGGTGTTCTGTGCCACTAAACAAGATGAGAGACTTGCTTACTGGTTGAGTGTCCTTGCTTTTCAACCCTTGCCTAGCTCAACCTGTTACTGCAGGTACCCGCCATGGTGCCTCTAGGGGCTATGAGAATGGAAATGCATGTGTTGGTCTCTTAGTCCAATAAGACTTTTTGTGGCAATGAAAACACTCTGTATCTAGGTGCAGGTGGCTTTTCTGCACTTGAGATGTGGCTAGTGGTCCCGAGGAACTGAACTTTTAATTTGCTTTCATCTTAGTTTAAATATAACTAACTGCATGTGGCTGCTGACTCACACACAGGAGGGAGGAGTTGTTTCTCTATTGCTCACTCTCTGCCTTGGATGGTGGTCTTCTCCTGGGGAGCCAGACCCTCAGGGGACCCCTCCAGCAGGCATTGGAGATCTGATGTGCTGTGCCTGTGCATTCTCACTTGGGTTCATTTTTCGCTTCTTAGTGTTACTGGGCTGGAACCCAGGGGCTTGCACTGAAAGGGTCAGTGAAAGCTCAGCCAGCCCTTGTTTATAGAAGACACACCTGGCTACAGTCCTGGGCTCTGCAGGTTGTGGGAAAAGGTTGGAGGGACACAATCACCAGGTGAGGGGCTCTGTAAATGGCCCCCACAGGAAGACTTGCTCAGGAAATTGCCTCTTGGAGCAACAAAGATCAGGCCTGTGAGGTAGAGCCCCTGACAAAAGTGTTCCCCACCCTCAAGCTCAGTTGGACTCCTGCCCCCACAGTCAATTCAACTGCACTTTCCCTTCAAGTGTTCTGCACCCTCCTGAGTAGTTCCAATAATGCAATTAGCAGAAGGTGGTGGGTGGCACCTGTGTGCTGTTGCTGGGGGTGGCATCTGTCTCCCATTAGACAAAAAAGAAATACAATCTTTATTTGAGAATTTCACACTTGCTTGCCCTTGCATATAGTATATTTTTATCATGTCTCCCTTTTCTTGTTGACACGGTATGTAGCCCTGGCGGGCCTGGATCTCACTCACAGGGATCTGCCATGAGATTAAAGGCTCTCCAGTTTCTTAAAGCACATCAAGGTGACTTTAGGGCAGTTTTATGACAAGTGAGTCTTGAAGCCAGCAGTGGATAAGACATCATCCTAGTTTTTTGTTCTGATTCCAGTTGGGGCCACATGGCTTTGACAGAGTCCTGTATGTGTAAAATGAGAACATCCTTTATTTTTTATTTTTTCCATTTCTGGAAAGTTTAAAAAGTGAGCTTAAGAAATAATATGAGCTTTCAGAAATGTCAGGATATTTTAAAGTAGATATCTGTGGTTATGGAAAAATGATTATTTGATTATTTCACCTCTCTTTTATATTCCAGTATTTATACAGGTTTATTCAAGAGAAAAGAATGCAGCACGGGCTTCCCTGTGTGCTGTTTGCTGTTTGCTGGCTGTGACTCCATCACCTGTCCAGTCACCATGGGGGGCCTTAGCATTGCTTGTGTTTGCAAATGTGAGATGGGGCCGGTGGTGGTATGGTTTTCAGTACAGAGCCTTTCTCCTAAGCAGGTATAAGTGAGCACTTGGTGGTACCTGAGTCTAGTGTAACAGCTGGTTCCTGAGGTCAAGGCAGGCCCAGTCAGACCCAGCCCTCCATTAGAAGGAGTCAGTCTTCCTCTAGGAGTGATGGAGGAGGCCTGTGCTCCTCTCAAAGCAGGACTCCGAGTGCTCCTCTGGAGCCCTGTGCCCTTGCCGAGGGCATTCTCAGCAGTTCAAAATGCAGTCATATACATAGGGAGGATTTTAGAATAATTTGCTATTTCAGTCATCCTTCCTTAAGTTCATCTTACGATAAAAATTGTTGCTTAAAATAGAATCTATTTAAGTTGAAAGGGATAATGTTAACAGGCATATGATTTGCATACTATTTGTAGAAAATGAATTTTAGAGTATTTGGTTTAAATTTTACCTCAAATTGTCTTGTGTCTCCCGTACCATATGCTAATGGAGTGTCTGTGTGGTGCCTTTTTTTTTTTTTCCCCTTCGAGACAGGGTTTCTCTGTGGCTTTGGAGGCTATCCTGGAATCTCTCTGTAGAGCAGGCTGGTCTTGAACTCACAGATATCCACCTGGCTCTGCCTCCCGAGTGCTGGGACTAAAGGCATGTACCACCACTGCTCGGCGTATGTGGTGTCTTCTTGGTTTTCCTTTTAAATTAACTTTGGCAAAATAGTATCATAAAATTTCAATCTTGGCTGTTCTCCAAGTGTTGGGTTCCCTGGCATTAACTATTCACATTGTGTGGGACCAAAGTTTCATAATGGCACCTGAGTTATTCCTTTCAGTCAGTGTCTCCCCTCTGCTCCCACTTCCCACCATTTTACCTTTTTTCTTGCAGTTTGACTCTTCCAGGTCTTCTGTGGGACTGGAATCATAGCATTTGTCTTTATGTGTGTGATTTATTTCACTTGCAGTACTCTCAAGGACCATCTGTGTTATAGTATGAATCGTGTCTGAGTTACTTTTCCACTGCTGTGAAAAGCACTGAGGCAGCTTATAAAAGGAAGCATTTAATTTGGGCTCACAGTTCCAGAGGTTTAGAGTCCATGACTTTCATGGCAGAGAACATGGCAGGCAGGTAGGAATGAACGGTGCTGGAGTGGTAGCTGAGAGTTCTCATCTGGTCCATAAGCATGAGGGAGGGATAGCCAGAGATTGAGCTAATTGGGAGAAGCTTGGGCTTTTGAAATTTCAAAACCTAGCCCCAATGACACCTCCTCCAACAAGGCTACACCTCCTAATCCTTCTCAAACAGTTCCAGCAATTAGGGACCATGCATTCAAATATATGAGCCTATGGGGCCCATTCTCATTCAAACCACCACAAGTCAGAGTCTCTTTCTCTCTCTCTCTCTTTTTTTTTTTTTTTTTTTGAGGCAGGCCTTGAGTTTACTATGTGTCCAGGGATGATTTTGACCTCCTGATCCTCCTGCCTTTGTCTCTGAGTGGTGGGACCACAGCTGTGCACAAGTCCTGGGGATGGAACCCAGGCCCTCATGCATGCCAGCCAAGCATTTCAGCAACTGATCCTCATCTCCAGCCCAGTGCCCTTCTTTTAAAGGCTGAGTAAAACTGTGTGCATTGCTCACATCTCATTTTTTCACATCCTGGTAGCTTTGGAGTGTTGCCACTGAAGAGTGTACGAGTACAATCCCAAATGTGGAATGGCTGGATTGCCTGGGTTACATAATTCTTGGGGGGGGGGAGGCTTGTGGTTTTCAAGATGGTTTATCTGTGTGCCTTGGCTGTCCTGACACTTGCTGTGTAGACCAGGCTGGCCTTGAATTCCCAGAGATCTGCTTGCTTCTGCCCCCTGGGTACTAGCATTAAAGGTGTACACCACCACTGCCCAGTAATTCCAAGGGTTCTTATCGTCCTACATCTTTCCCTGTGCTTACTATTTTATGTTTTTTTTTTTTTGTTGTTGTTGTTTGAAATTTGGCTGGGCCTTCTTGCTGTACCACAGTACCAAAACTATCTCTGAAGTGAGTGATGTACTGTGTTACAGGGGAGTTCTAGGTGCTACCCTGTGCCCTGCAGCCTATTCACTTCCTATAGAGAAGCTGCTTTACCCAGCCTCAGTACTGCCACCTGTTCCTCCAGTCAGTGCACATAGAGGGAAGTTGGTTGCTTTCCTGTGAATTGGATCATGAAGTATGGCTGCTCTCCCTGAAGAGCATGTCACTGGGTCGGGTTTAGTTGGGGTGTGATGCTATGGAAATGACATGCCATGGAAAGTTAAGCATGTATCTTATCTTAAAGGAAAAGCGTTTGGGCAGATATGAAGCTATAAGTGATGTGGGCTGAGATGAATCTCTGGGGTGTGTGGAGAATTGGACATGGTGGGTTTCCCACGTTCACTTTCTTGTGTTTTTCTTGTGCAGGAATCATGGCCCAAGTAGCGATGTCCACACTGCCTGCGGAAGATGAGGAATCCTCAGAGAGCAGGATGGTGGTGACATTCCTCATGTCTGCCCTGGAGTCCATGGTGAGACACTGGTAGTTCTGCCCGTGTCCTGTTCATAGTTGGATAGGATTGGGCTTCTAGAGAAAATACTTGTGTTTCTATGAAACAAATAAACAAATTATTATTGCAATGCTGGGATTAAACCTAGAGCCTTGCCTATGCTAGGCCAGCACTCTACTGCTGAGCTGTACCCCTAGGCCTCTTTACCTTCTTTGAGGCCAGC